CCTCTCATCAGGATCCCACTCCTGCCACCCATCACCACTCCTCCCATCGCAGGTCCTCAGCCTGCTCATGAGGACAGAGCCAGGCCGCCTCGTGACTATAGACCGTGAAGCTAGGTAGACACGTTCTAGGCAGCTGGGCAGGGCCAGGCTCTCGAGAGAGTCATGCAGAGATGAGAACATGCCACAACGGTGGCCAGAGGTACGTTAAGGATGGAGACAAGGTGACCAGGGCTGCCTGTCTCCCTGAGGATAAACGGTAAATGGACGCTAGCATCAGACACCCAGTGAGTGGCCTGGGTCCCCAATGGTCTCTTCCTAAAAGGCACTGGCTCCTTCCAGGTACGCTCGCTATGTGGCCTGGGACCTCACTGGATCCATGCTGCCTGATTGGCTAAGCACGTAATCTTATTGTTTGACCTTAGCTTTGTCCATGTTGTGCCCGTCTTGTGGTTTTACATAGCTTGTGATCTTGCTGTATAAAGTTTCTTTCATAAAGTGGGGTCTGCAGCAACCCATTTTGCAGGCCCCTTTCTGTCTCTCTCAGTGCCTGTCTCCCTCCCACTAAAATTTCCCACCCCTTGTCTTCTGCTATTCCTTGGAATTTGCTATTCGACTTTGGGGAACAAGAACTCGGCATATAGGTCATCTAGCGGCTTAGGAGTCCCATTTATTTCCCCTGTATCACAGCTGTGACCAGAATGAATCCTGCACTCTCTGCTAGGAGGCCTTCTGGTCCCTTTCTGACCCCTGCGTCCCTCGCAGGCCTTGCTCACCCGCTTAGATCACACCTGTGGCTCCCGGTGGGCCACTCTGAGGCAGTGCAGGTGGGCGCTGCTCCCTCACTCAGAAGGGAGAGGTGGCTCTGAATACTCACGTTTTATTTTCTTCTGTCTGATTTCTTTGATCTCTGCTGGAAGTCCTGGTGAATAATAAAAGACAAAGTTTCCTCTGCCATTTATACTTTTTTTTATTGTCATTTTGAAGGTGTGGAAGTGTACAGGGTGAGAAAGGAGAGAGATATTATCTTCTACCAGAAGCTCGAATTCCCTGAGGAGGTGGCTGATGACTTTTACCTTGAACAGTGCCTGGAAGAAATAGCTAAAATGGGCATCTCCCTGGGCACCTTACTGCTTTATGAGTGCATTTCCCAATTTGCTTGATAAAACAAATATGAAACAATCCAAAAACATCTCTAGGAGTTTTGCAAAAATACAGATGGCTGCAAAGCCCCACCTGGCAGCCTGGCAGCCTGGTTCTTTTGGTTGAGGTGGCCTGGCATGATGATGCTTTGAGTTTCCTCTGGGATTCCTAGAAATGAACAGGCTTGGATCCCTCTAGCAGAACATCAGGCAGGATCTCAAGGGACGGCCCTTGCCCTTGATGCCTGCACTGGGAGGCTGAGGCAGGAGGACTGAGGGGACAGCCAGCTTGGGCGATGTAACAGGTAGGCGAGCCTGAATGTCAGTCAAAACCACTCTTCCCATGAGTGGAGGGAATTTAGGGTTTTTCCACAGAGGTCTGAGTTCACGGACTCAAGACAGTGTCAGGGATTTTCAGCTTGGGAGAAAGCTTGTGTGGTTCTCAGAGACAGCGAAAATTAGTGACATGACATTTTTTGGGGAGCAGGGGGGGGCTCGTCAGCTGCTCACCAGTCCCCTAGACCAGCAGCTCCACCCTGTGCTGATTCCTGAGTCCCTGGGATAGGGGCTCTCAGCTCTCCCTAACATCTGGGGAGGTGTTGGGATTCCAGCAGCCTGACTCACCCTGGGCACCAAACAGCACAAGGGGACGGAGAGGCTTCACAGCTGCTGCGGAGCATCCGTGCTCTAGTGGCTTGCTTCCTAGTGGAGCTGGGGAGAGTTTAATGCCTGTCCCTCAGGGGAGAGGCCAGGAGGATGGGGCTCCTTCAGTGACCACCTGAGTTTGCATTAAAGCCGAGGGATGCCCCCCTTGTACATTAGCCGCCACGGGTCTTGGCTCTGGGACGGTCATCCCAAAGCCGAGTTCTGGAAGCTGGGACTTGCTGCCCTGCATTTAAAAGGGCGCAGGAATCTAGGCTGAAGGCCAAGGCCAACTCACACCTGGTGTGTAGGGCACAAGAACCGGGAGTGCTCAGTCCACTTTGCCTCTTGGAAATTAACTGAAGAGCGGATGCGTCTGGTAGCAGTGGAAGGCGCTACAGAGGTGAACCATCCGCATGCACGCAGCCTACCTGGGGCCACGTAGGTAGCTGCCACTGTGCCATGAAAGCATCAAGCAGGTCCAAAAGACGCAAGAAAACATTCACTGTGTGACTTTCCAAGAGACAACCCTTGCAGCTTCGGAACTAAGGACACGATGTTTGAAACCTCACTTTCTTTCATTGCAAAGGGTCATTTTCATCTCTCTTACTCTGATATATTAATTCAATCAATAAGAAGTGAAGGGCCCTCGATGGCCCCTAGCGCTGCTCTCAGCTCTGGCCACGGGAGACTTAGAGGCAGTCTGGAGTTGGAGGAGTGAGCTCCCGGGCACCAGCTTTCATGTCCTCCACTCTCCTGAAATTCTTCCCTCTGCTCACTCACCAACACAGGCGGGCTGCGAGGCCTAAGCAGGCCTCAGCCCTCTGGGTGCAGCCAGCCCTTCCTCTGGCACTTGGAGAAGACAGAGAGAAGGGCAGCTCCTGTGCACGCGGGCTTTGCAGTCAGTGGGACGAGTCAGGGCTGCTGAACTGAGATGGAATAAGGGAGTCAGGGAAACCAGTGGATCACAGGGAGGATCGAGAGATCTTCCTTTGAACTACACTTGAGCATTAAACATTCCTAAAGTTAGTCTCTGGAGGGTTAGGGTTCCTGAGAGGATGGTATATTTTAGTTCACTCTTCTCCCTGTGCCTGGATGCAAGGTCCTAGTGTGTTTTCTGGGGCTGTCTCTTCTCTGACCTGAGAATTCTCCCGTGGCCAACACCATCTGTGACGAGCCACTCCATTAGACCCCGTACAGCCCTTTATAGGGGCCACCAAAAAAATGCATGCATGCTCCAAGACATGAAAAAAACTCATGTATTTTTAATATCAAATTTACTGAGACATCATGGGATTACTACCCCTGCCTCTACAGTTACAGGAGGTGCTCACGGTGGTGGCCATCAGCTTCTAGATGTTCACTAGTATGGTCAACTGCCCTCTGGGGATAACTTTGGTCTGTGAAACCTCTGCATGTGTCTTCAATTTGTTCTCCACAGTCCGCCAGCGCAGTGCATGTGACGTGCTGCAATATGTGACGTCCTCCAGGGTCCTCCGTACAAGAGCAACCCCACTTGCTGAAGGAACCACACACTAGTGTCTTTACCTGAAGGACATGTGTGTTTCTGGGTTGGCTCTGTTGATATTTCTTTTTCTAGAATTAATTTTATTGAGAAACAGATAGCAATGAGGCAGTTTCAAAACCGATTCATGGGACAGTTTCAATAATTAATACATTGCATGTTGCTGTTTTCCTAGTGGTTATTCATAGTACAAGATGCAGACAGGATATCCTGTCCAAATGCTATTAGTACAAATATTTCTTCTCACTGAATTAAGAGAAAGTAGCTGTATATCTATCCTATTTTGTATATACAGATACAGAATGGTCATTCATTTGTGCCCCCTTTTTCTGTTGAATTTTGTCATGCATGGGTACTCCATTGCCATTTAAATATTGTAGGTGCGTGAATCCAGCAAAATAATCCAATGTAGTCCAGCAGCCCGCAATAGCAGTGTGCTATCCGCAGGACTGGCAAGGTCAGAAGTTGTTGGCTTGCGTCTTCTGCAGCTCAGTATCTTAATATGGCTTTACTTTTTATGCCTCGTTTTCATTTGTGATTCATGTGGCACTGCTGAGAACTGCCATTGCGGATGCTTTTCCTCCGATCGATTCTGCGGTGCCTGAAAACAGAGCTGGAGCTCTGTGCACCTGTGCCGCTGCTGGACGCGGCTGGGCTCCCGCAACTGCAGGCGCGGCATGACGGTGGTCGCCGAAGGAGCCTGAGAAGACGGTAGGAAGGAGGACCGCGGCCCCCGTGGCGGCCCAGATCTGAGAGACCACGGGGCTGGCGGCGAGGGTGGGCTGACACCCCACCTGACAGCATCTGCTCTTCCACTCCTGGTGGCTGCTGCCGTGGACAGAAGTTCTGAGTTTTCAACAGAAGCAGAAAACACTTTTCTTTGTGCACCACATTATTAACATTGACAAATTGTAAAAACTGAAGAACGGAGTGTAGAGCCGACAGCGCGCAGATGAGAGCCTTCGGGAGGGGCACCTGCCCACGATGTCCTCTGGGCTTTCACAGCGGGTGAGCCCGTGGGCCCCTGGAGAGCTGGATGCCGAAGGACTCCAAGCTCATCCGTGCGTTCTGCGAACTTCCTTCTCCACCGCTATGGTGTACCTGAAGCCCAGGAGAGCAGCTTGGTTTGTTTCACTGAAGAGTCTTAACTCGAGGGGGACTTGATCACTCCCTCCCCTCAAAGCCTGGAGTGTGAGGTCAGGGCAGCTCTGAGAGGCGGCGCAGGGTGTGCCTGGGTTTCTGGGGAGCCCACCCTCCTGATGAGGACTCTGTCCACCTGAGTTCCTGGTCCCCTTGCCTGGGGCACAACACCAGGAAATAGCCTTGTGCTCTGAGATTAAGAAGCCTGGTTTCCTCCGAGCCCCCTGCGC